ATTAGAGCCCCTTCCCCCCCCCCCCCCAGTGTAGTCACATGATAAGGGGACAATGAGACTCCTCCACACTGTGAAAGCTCCTAGTTACAACATGCAGCTTAAAAATCGCTTTGCCTCTGAAGCATGAACAGAACAATGAGGGACTGAAAGAAAGGTGACCACGTGCTGTTGGTGGGGCCACCAATAAAGTGAGGCTATTGCAGTGGAAGTTGGGTCCACTGCCTAACGACTGCACAACAAGGGGCAGGCTCAACGCATGTAGATATCTTGCTTTTCACATTGTGGCAATAACAAAGAAAGAATCCTGAGTCTAGGACCATCATCTGTGCAAGGTGAAATTAGCACCTCCTATTCCAGAAATGATCCCCTGTCCAGCAGTCTTCTGCTTAATATCATCTATCATCATTGCAGTGCACTAACATTTTTAGCTGACTTGGAGCTTACACAGGGCTTGCGCTCTTCATTCCTTTGAGGCCACATGGAGCAGTGGTAGATTACAAGGAAGAGGAGTCTATGCTGCAAGTAGGGCTACCATTAAAGAGAACCTGTTGGTTTGCCATGCAGGATGCTGAATGGGAGTGGTATTGGTCCATTACTCTCTTCTGCTTACAGCATGGGCGTTGTGCCGGTGTCAGGCAGAGAGGCTGCCCTATCGCTTTTGACAATTTAGTAAAAATGCGTTATGCTATTTTTTTTAATCTCCCTGATTCTAATGATTTTAGGGCAGTTTCTCACCAGGGCCCTGCGTGCAGGTCTCACCAGGGCCCTGCGTGCTGGTCTCACCAGGGCCCTGCGTGCTGGTCTCACCAGGGCCCTGCATGCTGGTCTCACCAGGGCCCTGCGTGCTGGTCTCACCAGGGCCCTGCAGCTAGAAAGGTCCATGAGAACCCAAACAGTGACCGCAGATAAATGAGAAGTAACCATGAACTTCATCAACTCTGGAGCTGCGTATTAGTTTCAGAAGTAGGGCTACAGCTAACAATTTTCATAATCGATTAGTTGCCCGATTATTTTTTTCAACTAATCGATTGGTTGCATTTAAAAAAATCTCTCTCCTTCTCCCCTCCCCCAACCAACTAACCGATAATGAGAATAGTTGCCAACTATGCTCATAATCGATTATTGATTTAATCAATTAGTTGTTGCAGCCCTATTCAGAAGTCACTTGCAATAAGGAACAGGTTTTGTTTTTTCTCCCTCAGAACTAGTTCGCAGGCTGATGCAGAGGTTCTTACCAGAAGTGGTACAAGAGATACTGGACCTGACAACAGTCACTGTCAGGATGGTTGTACTGCAACAAGTGCCACCTCCAAACCTTAGGCAGTGGCAGCCTCCTATGGTACACAATAGCCTGACAAGTAAAAGCCACCACCACCGGTTCCCTTAAAGGGAATGTATGTATTATAGGGAAAGGTTAGAACCTGTGCCACCTATGTATTGACTTTATTTGTTATACTATGTGCAGCAAATAGGTGGCACACTAGTGACTGTTGCTTTCTCTTGCAATTTGCTACTGTGCTTTGATCAAATGACATAGGCTTTTCAGTTTCTTCAATCTCCTGCTTTTAATATTCATTCACATTACACAAACAGCTGAATGAGTCAACACCCTTCCCGGTTTGCTCATATGACCCAAAAGCATTTTCAAAACGTGAGAATGAATGTCTAAATTAAAAGCGTAATAAAAAAATATACATAAAAACTCTTGTAACTATTCTGATAAAGTAATTGGGGGGAATTTATTATAACTGGAGCAGACAGAATCTGGTGCAGTTGCCCATAGCAACCAATCAGCACATCTCTTCAGTTTGCTCAGGTAAGTTTTGAAAATGAGAGAGAGAAGCTGATTGGTTGCAGTGCAAAGCTGCTCTAGTTTTGATAAATTCCCATCATTATGGTTTACATCTATACGTGGCCTGCCACAAACAACCATCAGGAAGGTCAGATGTAGCTGTATCTTGCTGTGTTTGAGAATATAAAATGGGTTCAAATGTATAAAAGCATCTGTTGTGTGCTGTCTAGTCTGTGTAGTCCTGTGTATCACTAATCACTAGACAAATGGAAATCATAAAAACAGCTCCACAACTATACGTTTGGAAGACTTTACATTTTAATCAGTGCTGGTTCATACAAAAAGTCCCTTACATCAAGAGGCGGCTAACTGAGGTGCAGTAACGATCATTATCACTAGGGGGCTCCCTTAGTTTGTTACAATGGGAATAGAAGATGCCAGAATGTTCCTTCTCATCAGTCATTGACTTCCATCCAGCACACATTTACAAAGGATGGGGGGGGGGGTCCATTTTATTACATCTTAATGACCCATCTTATGCTTCCCAGCCCCGTGTCTTCCATGCATTCATTCTCTGATGGTAAATGCTTAAGGATATTACTCCATGAATGTTCAGGATTTTAATCATTTTACATTTTTGTGTGTGCATACTAGGTATTGAAGATTATCAGCAGCAGGTGGAGACATTTCAGCACCTGATATAACTTAGTGACATTAAACCCTCAGATTTTTTAACATAAAACAATAGTGTAATGTGTGCCTTACTGTAATCCATGGTTGTTTCCCTTCTCTTTGCTGCTCTTCCTTTTTAAATCTGTATCTGTTCTCATGCTGGGCAGAACTTCTGTTTTGCAGCAGACTGCCTTGTCTCTGGAATGGATACATGGTGTCTGTGTGTTGGTTCACAACCTGAGCCAGCACTACAGGAAGAGGCACTTAGCTGCAAATGGAAGTTCTCCCCAAGCATGAGAAGACATGAGGATTTAAAAGGAAGAGCAGCAAAGAGAAGGGACACTACCATGGATTACAGTAAGGCACACATTACAGTATTGGTTTATGTTAAAAAATCTGAGGGTTTAATGTCACTTTAAGGTTGTTACTCACAAAAAGGGATGAGCTTGGGTTTGGACCAAACCCGAGCTTAACCAAACCTGGAAGGAAGCTGTGAGTGCCAACCCAATCATGAGGCCATATAATATCAAAGGCATAACCAACATCCTGCCCCTTTGTTTCTGCCGGCGGTGAATGCCCTGGCCACAGAAGATCAGGTTGGCATGGACAGCTTCCTACCCAGGTTCAGATGAGCTTAGGTTCACAAGCACCCATCCACTAAATTCTAAGTCCAGCAAAGCTCCTCTGAACCCATAGAGGACATGGGGCCACCTGCCCAATCAGCTGCGAGTGGGGCATTCCCTGCCCCGCGGCTGCACATAAACAAAGGGGTGGGCTGCTTGTGCTGACATTGACATTATATGACCATTTGAGGTTAATGTCATCTCATTTCTGCTTAGGTCAGCTGTGAGCAGGGAATTCCCCGGGCCGTACATAATAGGCAGCAGCAGAAGGAACTTTCTTGTGGGTTCATCACCAATTGTAACCCCTCATTTATATCTACAATAAAGAAAGTTTACATTGTTCAAAGAGACACACTGGACACATGGGGTCACGCCACCTCATCATTCAGACAATTTCAAAGCAAAGACTTCAATTTACCAAGAAATAGTTTATAAAAGCTTTGTTAAAAAAAACAAAAACTGAATTATATTACAGAAATAATCAGAAGTGACGGGTGAAAGGCACAGGTTGGTGTCTAGATGTGCATTATTCTGTAAATATAGATTATCTGCTCTTAGAAATGAACACGATTCTTATTCTAGGGAAAAGAAAAAAAACAAAACGATTTTGTACCCCGTAGTGAACAGCAGATGATTACACTTCTATTGTTTCGGAAGCGCTGGGGGAAAAAAACCTCGCTCGGCACTGTTTAATACTGACAGAGTGGTGGAATGAGAGAGACAAGGAGCTGGGTGGACACATCAGAGATCACCAAGCAAGTATTGTTCATTACCAGAGACAGCTCACAAATCAAGCTGGTGGGAAGAATGCAGAAGTGACAACAGTTGGATGATAAGACTGTTCTATTAGACATTTCTTGGAATTAAATACAGCCTCAAACTTCCTAGCAGCTTCAGTTTTGTTCGGCAGCACAGCCACAATAAAGCAAATAAGAGGCTGTTTTTAAAGTGTAATTCCACCAAAATGTTTTTTTTCTTTGCTTTTTGTTTTGGATTGAGTGGGGAGGAGTGAGAACCAATCTAGTTTCTACAGAGCTAGGCAACCTTGGCGCTCTGGCAAAAACTACAAGTCCTATCGTGCATCCAACTGTGGGAGTCAAGCCTGTCAGAGTCTTGCAAAGTCTCATGGGACTTGTAGTTCCACAACAGCTAGAGTGCCAAGATTGCTGACCCCTGCTCTACTGCTATCTGGGGCTCCATTAGATAGGTCCCGGGGAGAGCTGAATCAGCAGAGTGGAACTGGCGATAATTCAGCAACAGTAATATAGGGAAAGGTTAGAACCTATGCCACCTTATTTCCTTCCGTGTCGCAGATTTTCCATCACTTTCTTTCTTGGAGAACCATTTTCATCATTACAGTAAGAATAACCCCAGGACAGTAGTAAAGGTCAGTCCGGGGTTCTAATGCTTCCCCACTTAATCTTTTGGATGGACTTACACTTTAAAGACATACAAGTAAGCTAGTTATCAAGGAGGACCACATAGTCCATTAGTCAAGTACTTATATATCCTTGATCGCTGATTTTCAGTATCCAGAGAAGAAGATCTATGCTATGGAGGGCCACAGAATAGTTGCAGAAGGCTGTAGAGCATGAAGATTGCCTCTGATGCAAAGGAGTTTGAACATGTTGTCAAACCAAAATCTAGGAGTGTAGATTGGTGCTAATAATATTGAGCTTATGCTGTAATAAAATGGTTGACCACCATTCAAAACACAATAATACCTAAGACAGAAAGTGTAATTGAACCGACTCTTTGTCCACAAGCTGCTCAACAAGTATAACAACTGAATTTCACTGCTTGCACAACACTCGGTTTCTTCCAATCCAGTCCTTTTTATTTTATTAAAGCCGTGTTATGACGTTGGATGTCCCAGAGTTCGTCTGCCAATGCTGGAGTTCTTTGTGGTGCAGGCATTCAAGAAGAACATACGTGTGGAAGATTCTGTAGAAGAGGAGAAAGTGAAGGCAGTACAGTGTTTATTCCCCTCTCCGCTTTGAAGGTGGAATTAGATGTGAAGGAAGGTCGGCTGGTAATTCGTGCCCTTCTAGCTTGACTTTTATTAAATGGTTTGCTAAGGCAAACTCTTCGTCGTCAAGAAGCCCATCATGGTCCACATCTGCCAACTTCCAGATTTTACCCAGCACTGTGTTGGGGAGTTTGGACTTCACCATTTCCTTCTTGGCACTGGCTCCAGTGATCTTTCCATTCACAGGGGAAAGAGTGTAGAAGATTTCATCATAAGTTGGTTTATCTTTGGCTACAACCCACTCTAGGTCATCGATACCTTCTCCAGCTCCCTCACCATAGCCATGGCCAAATGGACCATTCATGGTTCCTTCAAATGCACCACCTTTAACAACCTGGTTTGTCATTTGGGACTCTTCCTGCCGAACCATGACCATAAGCCGGGCAATGTCATTGGACAACATGTCATCTACTGTGTCCAGCAATTTTGGTTTCAAGGGCTGGAACTTGGAGAAGTCCTGTGTCATTAGAACTTCCTAAAAAAACAGAACACACAAGAGGTCTTTTACTGCAGTGTAAGATTAGAGCGTCATTTCACTCAGCACACAGTTTTCACAATTTCATGACCAGTACAGATTTGTATATTCTCTCTCTGGTGGCTATGGGCATATCATAGAGTAGATTTTCCTCCCCACAGAACGGCTGAGATTACAGGGTAAAGCATATATAACCTACACAGAAACCTTTTTCACTACCAGAATGTTTTCATTTTGTTCCACATGCTTGAAGAACCACTAATTTTATATATATATATAGATATATATATATATATGTATATGTGTGTGTATATGAGAGATATATATATATATATGTATATGTGTGTGTATATGAGAGATATATATATATATATGTATATGTGTGTGTATATGAGAGATATATATATATATATGTATATGTGTGTGTATATGAGAGATATATATATATATATGTATATGTGTGTGTATATGAGAGATATATATATATATATATATATATGTATATGTGTGTGTATATGAGAGATATATATATATCTAGATCTATCTAGATATATATAGGACTTTGAAAGCTGACACCACATTCTTCGTGATAGAAAAAGCTTGACCAAAATGGATTTAAAAATAGACCATGTGGAATATTATTAGCTGGACATTGACTGTGGCCAATCAGATGCAGTTACTGTTCAGATGGCTGCAAATGAAGAACAGGAATCTAGCCGTGTAGCAAGACAAATAAAAAATGGGGATGGTGGCATGCATGTTTGATAGAAGATGAGCAGAGATGGAGGTCTTTGAAGTGGCAGCTGTGTGGCTCTTGGCGCACATCCCTGGGGAGCGGGAATACAATACGGCTTCCAATAAATAGGTCAAAGTAGCTTTTAGTCATTCATCCACCTAGAAGCAGTTTTGATATTTGCATAACTCCTCCCTAAAGCCAGCCCACTAATTGCATCTGGGCCGAGGACTATTGAGGCAGGGAGCTGTGATGTTCACAGGAAGCAGGGAAGGTAAAATATAAATCAGGTTAAACTTCAGCTCTAAAGTGATGTACCGTATATACTACAAATGACTGTTCATAACACTGCACTAGAAAGAAAAAAAAAACATAAAACAAACACTCGCTTTAACTACATATACAGGAGCTTGCTTTGTACAGTATTTCTATTTTTAATATTCAGACTCAGACCCCCTTATTGTCACACAGTAAACATAACCAATTATGTCATTGTCATCAGAATGACGGCTTATTTACAGAACATAGGAAGTGATATATCTCTGCAGAGCATATCTTCTATAGTTAGAAGTTCAGATAAGGCAACATGTGATCTACATGACAGAAACGTTCATTCAGCGACATATTTTCTTGGACCGTCTCATTTCTCACCTGCATTTTCTTGAGATTTGGAAAGTCTCCGGGAGAAATCTGATATTCCTTTTCAATTTTAATGTAGATCTCAGCCAAGTTGTTAATAAGATCCTTCTTCTTATTGTCCTTCCCAAATACATTTGGCATTTCTTTTTTTAATGCACTAATAATATAGGCGTGAACCTGAAACAGGAAAATGAACAAAAGTCAAACTTTGCTAGAGCAATGAGCAACAGAACCAACAGATCTATGTATTCTATTACCAGACCACATTAATAGTATCTGACAACATCTTCCCGACAGCTTTCCATTAGATTTCAAGAAACTCATGAACACAAACTGCTTTAATGTTACTGTTATTCAAAAACACACCTACATGAATGATTTTATTTACTGAGCACTGGATACAGAGGCTGTGGAGCAGTAATTAAACCCAAAACAATAGACAAGCTCAACGTGAGCACTTTCCATACAGTACTTCAATTCAGTTTCGATCTATAATACACAATGTAAAAACAACATGAGAATATCTGATAATAGTAATAGCTGCTGAAACTATTAGCCCTCATTCACACTATAACCGGCCTGCACGTACAGCTACGCAGCACGGCCGTGTAATCCCATAGAGAAGGACAGGGGCTGCGTACTAATCACACACAGCACCTGTCCTTCCCGGGAGCTGCTCAATACAGCCGTGCACACGACACGGAGCTGTACGTGCGGGCCGATTACAGTGTGAATGAGGGCTTAGTGCCCATTCACAAATCACACATCAGCTGGTGTGTTGTGCCTGTACAGTGCCGAGTTGCCGATCCTGGAGCATCGCACTGTGTTGTCTGATGGTTCTCATTCATCCAGGTCATGGTATATCTGTAAAAAATAAGTCAAGGCAACTGGACTTGCTGTATTTGTCTTGAAGACGTTTCACTGGTCATCCAACCAGCTGGTTGAGAAAGTCTTGACTTATTTTTTACAGATATCGCACTGTTGTCTCCTTCCACAAAACATTTTACTAACTCAAAATTAGTATTTTCAAGTATACTAAATGAGTTGGTAAATCTAAAAGAAGTGTACACCATCAGACTATCCACTGAGGTAGAGGCAGTCTAAATCTCAGAGCAAGATAGACCGAGATAAAGACCCTCTGGCAGTTTAAACAGTTCTTATATGTGTATCATGTGTACTACATCCGTGTATTTAGCCGTTTGCCTGCAATTGCAGCTTTCAGCTTGGTTGCCTAATACTTAAACTATAAACACATCTTAAGGAGAAGCCATCGCTGTTGGTCACTCATTTTAAAAATACATGAAATGATTTGCATTTCTTACAGTTGTTACATAAATATAAGCTGTTACTCCTTTTTCTCACCTTGGCCAGCCTGGCTCGTTTAATGAGGTCATTCAGCTTGCGGAGAGCAGCATTCCTTGGCAGTGACTGAATGTCCTTGAACAAGTCTTGTTCCTCTGCTTCAAACAGTTTGCGGTTGTCTGGTATGAGCAGTGGATGGGACCAGAATGAACCGATGTACACACGTACCACCTCTGGGGTGTTGATGATCTTGCCCAGTGACCACATGAGGGCTCCGTACACTCTCATAAGCTGCTGGGTTTCAATTTGATCTGCCTTGTTAAGGACAACCCGGATTTTATCTTCATGGTTTTTGAGTGCTTTGATGACTTCAGAAAACTCATCTGATATATCCAGCTTGTGGGCATCAAAGAGCAGAATGATCCGATCCACTCGCTCCGCAAACCACTCCAGGACTGCAGCAAAGTCATAGCCTGCGAGGACAGAAAAGAGATGGTCAGATTACATACAGTATTGCGGTGTGTCACCTGCACTCCATAGGGCATAGTAAACCATGAGAATACGGATTGTGGTGCTTGAAGTGATGGAATGAATGGTGCCGTGTATTTTCACAGTATGGATAAAGGAATCACCAGCACTCACAAAACTACGCCACCATGAGGAAGGGACCGTGCGTGGCCCTGAAACAGCTTGAAGGACGCATGTTGAATAAAAATGAACAAAGAATTCATGCTTTGAATTCTGTGGATTGCTGGCGATTCCTTTATCCAGGACACACACACACACACACATCGGTCTCATGTCACTTGAGGTGAGATCACAAGCAGTGAACATTGAAGCATTTATGAATCCAAACACCTGGGATCAACAGAAGACCAACTCTCCAATATGTCCTCTACCTTTCATGCACCACTCTCAGGTAGATGAGGGCACAAAGCAGTCCTGTGCTACAGTACAAGGCACATTGGGCACTATGTAACATGAGAACCGATTCTGTTTTATACAAGACCCGCACTTTTCTGACAGGTAAAGCTGTTTTGTGGCTTGTCACTAAGCAAGACAATTATAGTATATGATTCCATGCCAGTCTGACTAGATATACATGTGAAGGATTTTATACCTCCAGGCAATGTAGGGTTAGTAGTAGTCCCATTCATCTGTAATGTTAAAGATGTTGTGTACCTTTATCCAAACCACTTGCCTAGGCTTAGTTTAGGCTTTTTCTCCCCTGCACCTACAATAACCAATGTTATTGTAGGTGCAGGGATTATGCGGCATAGTATTAAAGCAATGTTATTGTAGGTGCAGGTTATGTCAGATGGACAAATCCCAGGACAGGTAACAATTGCTCCTTACAAATTACAGCTGGTGTATCACTTTTGAGGTTCTTTTGTAGTTATTGATGGAGTTGTCTCCTAAAAAAGGAACCCCCCCCCAAATGTGGTCCCAGCAGCAACAGCTACACTTCTTATTAACACAGTGACTAGAGTTGTGGGATGACCCGATAACTCCATAAAGGAGTACAGATATATTTAAAACCAAGATCACTTCTACCGCTGTTGCCTTCAGCCAAGTCAATAGTGATTCACTCAGCCAAGTATGCAACTTTCACTTTTCACTGTGTAGGGAGTGGTAGGTCAGCGGCAAGCTGCCAACCATAAACTCCACAAGTTTTCTGTATAACAAATAACTAAAGATTTCCAGCACAAAGTCGGCTATTGATGGAAATGATTGAAACATATCTAAACCCAAAAACAAGAATGCAATATAGTGCAGCATACCAATCCTTAGATGTGGTGGCTGCATTGTCTATTTTTAGCCTTTTTCCCTTTATTTTCACCCGGTGATCCGGCCAGTAACACACTTCCTGTCTTAGTGTGGCTCCACTCTATGGAGGAGCAATGGAGCCATCCTTGGACAGCAGCATTGTGGGGAGGGGAGCGTTAGATGTACTAGCAGATTTAGATTGAATTTGTGAGTCAAGTCCATCTTACCTCCAGCTAACACTTTTGAAACAACTCTTTCTTAACCCTTGTAGTGGGTAGCTACCCCCACACTGCTTGTTTGTGCTAAACTAACACAATTATACTCATCTGAAGCTCCGAGCCAGCCAGCTGTCACAGCGCTCACTGCAGCCCGTTTCCCCCTCCACAACAGCACCGGAATGTTCCTCAGCATCCTCACTTCTATACACAATGAAGGGAATTATCAAAACTGGAGCAGAGAAAATCTGGAGCAGCTGTGCATGGCAACCAATCAGGTTCTCTCTTTCATTTTCAAATCTTAACTGAAGTGAAAAGAGAAGCTGATTGGTTGCAATGGGCAACTGCTCCAGATTCTGTCTGCTCCAGTATTGATAAATTCCCCCGAATGTATAGACGTGATGATTTACGGGACCTTAGATCACTCCAGGGGCCGGACTAACAAGTTTTTTTTTTCTTTCTTTAACCTAGACAAAACGAGCACTACAGGGGTAGTCCCACCGCAAGCGTTAATCAAATTTTGTCCTGGAGGAGTTCTTCTTTAAGCTGTTACAGCAACAGTTAATTTTTTCAGACTTTTACCCAGCTTTCACTAAAAATCACAACAGAGTGCAGCTCTGCATGCTGATATGAAGTCATCTTTCATTCAATAGTGAAATATTTTTTGTTACTACTTTCAATGACCATATTTCCATTTCCTGGTTGAGTGAGGCACTGGTGATATACCCTTCGCAGCATGCATTTGTAAGACTCGGGCTACATCAGCAGTGCCTTCCTGACAAATCGGTCTTTAGTGAAAATGGCCGCTGTGAGAAGAATAGGAAGGAAAAGAAAAATAAAGTATGCAAAGAATAAAAAGCCGGCAATTATAAGTATCTGTTTGTAGATTGTCATTACTAAATATTTCTTTCTAAAAAGGGAGAAGTTCCTCTCTTAGGGCTTGTTCACACCAAATGCAGACCAGATCTGCACGAGTTTCTGCACGCGCAGTGCAGTGTATTTTGCCACGTTCCGGGCTGTTTTTGTAAAAAAAAAAAAAAATATATATATTTTTGTTTCAGCTTAAAATGGGCTTTCAGGGCCTGTGCACAAGAGTTTCGGGTCCGGATCAGGTGCGGATCTGCAGACGCAGGGCTATGTGTTTTTGCCGCGTTTTTGATGCGTTCCAGTTAAAGAAAAAAAACTATCTTATTTTTTATTTTTGCTGGAGTAGGGCTGTCAGTATGCTAGCTGCAGTGCAGTGCGTTTTTGACACGTTTTGAGTTTTCGGACAAAATGTGACATGCAGTATTTTTCTGTCGTAACCTGAACGGACTGAGAACTGTAGCCCATAAAACACATAGGGATACATTGGGATGCATTTTTAGTGCAGGAGCGTACGGATCAGGTCAGCACACAAAACGGACGTCGTGTGAACAGGCCCTCAGTGCATTCCAGGGCGTTTGCATGCATTTTTGATGTGTTTGCATGTGTTCCAGAGCAGGGAAAATAGGGCTTGCTGCAGTTTTTTTTTTTACATGTTCCGGAACTGAACACTGCGGTGTGAACTAGAGCCCAAAATACCATTGGAATACATTGGACACGTTTTTGATGCGTTCTGTAACTGGTCTGCAACTGCAACGCATTTGGTGTGAACAAGCCCTGAGAGAAAAAACACCTCGGAAGACCTGCATCACAGACACCAGATATTTGGACCATTTCAATGTTGCCGTCTGCTGAATTTGCTCTGGTAAATGCAACCAACTTCATAAGAAGCCGGACATACATTTCACAACAAATTCCGTATATGCTTTTGCTCAGAATGTCCCGTACACAAAGAAATAGATTTGGACTTTCAGCCTTCACCAAATTAACAGAAATGTGGAATGAGAGACGGCTTTCCAGTCTCCCCAGTATGACAGCATTCCTTCCACTTAATTATCTGCAGTTTAAAAAAAAAAAAAAAAATGTAACTTCTGTAATCCTATGGGATGTGATGACAGCCAGAGGTTGATGGTCAAATGTAGTTTCCCTTATAAGGCTGCAGCCAAAAGAGTCACTATTTATACACAAACCCTCCTAGTAGCTATTCCTCATTCTACTACAGCTCAGTGTGTAAAATCTGTAGGACATATATTACTTGGGTTTAAAAACAAACCAGTGTGATATCCGTTTTACCCAGTTTAACTCTTTTGCTGCCAGACAGTGCCCCCAATTTTGCACTTTAGATGGCCAGACCATTTTTTTGCTATATTCATATACACAGGTGGCCAGTGCTCTGAATGTTTGTGATCTAAACCATCATCAGACAGCTCAGATAACAGGCACGTTGTACAGCCACTGATGATATAACACCTGGGCAAAAGCACAAGGTCCCTGGTACCCGGCTCCATTCTTGGTATCTGATAGATGTTGGAATTCAGCACGGGGTCTAAAACGGCACAACGCATGCAGCGTACGCGCAACATAAAAAACTGCTAGGAGCAGGAGTGAATAAAATACCCGTCACCTCTGTGTATGGAGAAGTATGTCACTCACCATGCGACAGCATAAGCAAAGCACAGGCTGAAATTAAATATAAGGCCTCATTCACGAGACTAACAGCCGGCCCCGTACAGATCTGTGTGTCGTGCACAGCCGTATCGAGCTGCTCCCGGTAAGGACAGGTGCTGCATGTGATTACACGCAGCAGCCTGTTCTTCTCTATGGGAGTACACGGCGCGTGTCCGTACTTGTACGCAGACAGGATGGATCCGTTTTGCGTCGGAGCAGGGACACCCGCGCGGACGTGCAGTTTGGGCGAGCATACGGTGGTGTACTCCCATAGAGAACAGACTGCTGTGTACAAAAATCACACGCAGCACCTGTCCTTCCGGGGAGCGTCTTGATACGGCCGTGCACGCAGCACGGAGCTGTAAGGGCCGGCTGTTAGTAGTGTGAATGAGGCCTTATACTGTACACTACAACTGCTAGTCTACTGTATTGGTAGCCGTCAGACAAGGCAGGGCAAACAAGTTCAAATAAGAGAGAGTGTGAAAGCCTATCCCTGACCGGATTCCTAATTCCATTGCATCAGAGGAGCAAATACAAATATTGTGCTTATGATTACCCCAGAAGCAACACTCACAGACACTATAAACCATAATGACAGTCACATTTACATAAGAAACACAATAAATCCATTTCAGTCTGGCAAGCTTTATTTTCATATGTTTTGAATTTCTGGACACAGTAAATGCAGATCTGATGTTATTATGGTTTTGAGCATTTCAAGAAACACTCCAAAAACGTTTCTGACTTACAGTGGACTTAAAAGCTACAGGCTGACCGGTACAGTGACTGACTAGCAGAGTTCACTGGGATTCTGCCAATTCTGATCAGCAGAGCCCTTCCACACAGGATAGGGCCCAGGCACCCTTCTTTCTTCTAGCCTCACAGGAGCTCATCAGGCATGTCGTGCCCACTCTAGGTCCTCATTGCTGGATTACATTGATGGTGTAATCAGGGGGCAA